TTTTTTTTTTTTTACACATACAAGAATTGGGGTACAGGCCAGAGGTGCAGATAATGAGAGATTTCATCAGAGACAGAATGAGGAGCAGAATAGGCAGATCCTCTAAAATACACTGCTGAGGGGAGCAGCAGGAAAGGTCTGCTGTGCCTTGTGGGTCACCTCCTGGCTGAGGATTGAACTCTCGCTGCAGTGGCTGTGGAGAGCTTTAACTGGTTGCACCACCAGGGAGGGCCTGCTTTCATATTCTTAAGATGCAGGTCTGTTAGTGATCAGGCACAAGATTGCATCATCACGCGAAGGAATGTTCATCTTTTCCTTAGAGTGGTAAAGTCCTGAAACATTCCCAATCTTTTCTAGCCCCTACTGGATTCTGACTTGGTTGTGGAGTTAGTGTGGGAGGCTCAGCCATAACCTAAAAAGTGCTGACCCAGGCTTTGAATCTAGCTCTGCTCTCATTTGCTAGGTAATTTTTGTGGGCATTCTCTAAGCTAGCTTTCCCATCTGTAAACTGGGGCTAATGCCAACTTTCAAAGCCTGCTAGAATTAAATGTGACTTAAAATCTAACATAAGCCCTAGTGTGAGGTAGGCACTTAATTGAATGCTTGCTTTCATATACAACCATTTAATGATCCTGTTGTCTTGGGGCAGAGGGGCTAAGGATTTGGTGGAGCCTAAAATAGGACTCTTACCTTGAAGCTCAGAGAGATTAAATATAGTCAAAGAACTGGTAACTGCCAAAGTACATTGAGGAAGTTGGAAGTTTTGTGGAGGAAGTAAGCTGGAACTTGAAGGGTGACTAGGAGAGCAGCAAAGAAGTGGGAGTGGGCACAGAATTACACAGTTTTGGCAACAGTAGATTGGAGAAGCCATAGGTAAGGGGAATGGGGAGAGGTAGATGGAGTTTGTTATTCATCCTTAGACCCACCTTAGCCCTGAAGTAAAAGTTTCGGTGAGGCATGCCTTGATAATTAAAACTCTGAATCAGAGTTTCTCAACAGAGTACTGTTGACATTTGGCACTGGCTAATTCTTTGTGTTGTGGGACTGTCCTGTCTATTGTAGAATGTTCAGCAAAGTAGCACCTTCTGTGACAACCAGAAATGTTTTCAAACATTGCTGAAGATCCCTGGGGGACAGAATCATCCCTAGTTGAGAGCCACTGCTCTAGGATGCTAGATACTCCCATTTGCTTAAGTTTCTAAAAACCTGCTTGCTAAAAGCACATGCACCTTGATGTGCAGGTGGGGAACACCTGCTTGTTAGTGTGCCTTTCTTCAAATCCTGCTTGGGTGCTTTTCTAAGCACTTAAGAGGTCATGCCTTTTATTTCCTGATATGTACCCCAGCCCTGTGGTGATGGAAAGGGGAAGCTGATGAAATCTGATTCTCTTCAAATGGGGAGGGGTTTTGGTAAATCTCTTCTGATTCAGACTTCAGTTATTGGTGGCATATACTAGTGTGGTGGTCTACACCCGTCAAAGGCAACATGTCAGGAATACAAGGTTTTGGTTTTTTTTAATGTATACAGAACTGGGATAGAGGACAGAAATGCAGGGGCAGTGAAAGAATTTACCAGAGACAGAGTGGGGAGCAGAACAGGCAGATGAAGTACATTGCTGAGGGGAACAGCAGGAGGGTCAGGAGAGGTCTGCCGCACCATGTGGGTCACTTCCTCCAGAGCGGGGATCGAACTCATGCTGAATAGACCAGCTTCCTAGTGCTGTGCTTTAACCCATTTTGCCACCAGGGAGGGCCCAGGAATACAGTTTTATATTAATAGTTGTGAGTGTGGATGTTAGTATATGGCATACATTGATGCAGTCAGTAGTGTCCAAATGTGGGCATTTAGAGCAAGGTCTCATAGACTGTTTTTACATATTTATCACATTTCTTTTCAAACCCTGTTAACAGGTTTTTTTGTTATGTAACCTGCAGGGTGGGTTCACACAATGTTTTCTGGGTAAATTAAATACCTTTTACACTGTCTTTATATCAGTTCATCCCACATTTCTTTCTTTTATTCCCTGTAGGTTAAATGGACAGATTAAAACTGATTTTAGTAGGATTAATCAGAATAATTATCAAGGCTAATTACTTACTCGCTGCTATTTTAATCACTGCTGCAAGGTCTGTGGTTATGGTGGTCATGTGCCCAGAGACCCAGGCCCTTGGTCAATGTCTGAAAATGACTATGGCTTAGCTTATGACTGCCAGTTAATAGTTGATATTTGGAGAACTGGATATCCCTCTCAGTTTTGGACTAAGGACTGATCTTGTTCAGCTACCTGAAAGCAAAATTTAGCTTTTTGGCTTAAAATAGTTGGGAAAGTAGGGCAGATAGGTCCTGGGCCACATCTCTTATGTGGAGTCTTCTGATTCATGGCAAGAGGAGGGACCTCAGGATGAAGTCTAGACCGTGCATTCTCAGCAGCAGTTGGGTTGGGGTTCTTTCAGGCCTGACAAGGCAGAGCACAACAGTGGAAGCTAGCAAGCAATCCATGTTCTTAATAATGGACAGTAGAGAAAATAAATAGGCCATAGAAATCTCAGGACAGGCTGTCCGTTTTCATCTGGGCAGTTAGTGTGCAGATGTGACTGAGATAAGGTGGGAACCTTCAAGGGGCATAGGCTGATCTCTGCATTGAGTGGTGGATATGTATATATCCTTTACTGTGGCCACTGAGGCCCTCAGGACAGATTGGACCTTGTCTCCAGGCAACATAGGTAGGCTGTTTCCTACCCCCTTATTACCTAAAATGCCCTTCTCTTCCCCTTAAATACACAAACCAAAAGAAAACGTAATACAGAATAGACAAGAAGAGTTTGGAGTTCCAGCGTTATTTTAGTTGTTTGACCGTAAGCAAGTTACCTAACTGTTCTGTACCTTAGTTTCCCTAATCTGCAAAGTGAGATAGTTGCTGCTACTGAGTAGTTATTAAAGGTTGACTATGTTTTGCACTAGAGAATACTTGCAGTTTAGGTAAAGTGTCTCTGGGGAGGAGCTGACTTTTGTGTTCAGCTCCTCCATATTTATATTGAGACGAGTACAGAATTGGACTCAGAGCATGTTGACCTTTTTTCTGAATTCAGAAAGCCCCAGAACAACTCATAAAGCTAGGCCATGTATCTTCTTGAAGGTTTTGGTCTGGTTATAATTTGTGCCTGCACTGAAAATCCTATCCTTGCTTAGATGGCTGCCCTGTTCTCAAAAACTTAAGTTTAGTTCCACAGGTTATCAGTGATGAGACAGTTCATTGTGACTACCCAGAGTGAGAGACCCATTTAGAAGGAGGCTGTCACCAGGTCAAAATCTTGGCCATTCCCTCCATCCCAGGCAGGGTAGATGGGAATGGTGGTCTTCTAGGAAACACGCATTAAAAATTCAGTCTCCTGAATTATTCAGACTGTCCTTACAGAACTTTTGTAGTCCTGCTTAGTCCCTTCTTATAAAGAGTTTTTCAGACTCCACTTTTAACTTGTACCTCATCCTCTGAAAAAGGACTTGCTGTGATCTATTTTGCAGATGTGGAAACTGAAACTTCAAAGTGGTAGAACAGTTGAACTCAGCACACATTTTATTTAGTGTCCACTTGTATGCAGAGATGAATAAGGCCTTTGCAGAGCTTTGTCTTTCAAAAAGACGCAATTTCCTTAAGGTCAAATATGGTAGTAGAGATGTACAAGTAGTATGGGGGAAACCCTGTAGAAGGGGACAGGTGGGAGGCAGGGGAGTTGAAGAAATAGGGGACAAGACTGATGAGAGTGGCTCTAAGGCATAAAGGTAATGGGTGATCAATTCTGTCATTCTTCATTTTTTTTCTTAAAAGATTTATTTATCCACACAAGAACTGGGGTACAGGCCAGAGATGTAAGAGGTAAGAGGATTCACCAGAGACAGTGGGGAGCAGAACAGACAGATGCACTGAAAATACACTGCTGTGGGGAGAAGTGAGCAAGACAGGAGAGATCTGCTGTGCCAGGTGGGTCACCTTGGCTGGGGATTGAACTCATGCTGCAGTGGCTGCCAGTAACTTCATAGTGCTGTGCTTTAACCCTTAGTGCCACCAGGAGGCCTTATCACTCTTAATTCTTGCATAGCATACTGGTCATCCCTGCTTGAAGTTGGGTGGGGAGGGGAGAGGTGTTTGTCTTGGAGTGGCTCAACCTGGGGAGCAGACTGACCGGCAAAAAGCATTTAGGTATTTCCTCTTCTCCCTCCCCTATGGAAACAAAAGAGCTGAAAGCACTGGAACTTTTCTTCATATCAAGGATAGGGCTGGACCCAGGACATATTAGCTTTCAAGCTGGCAGGCTAGAACTTTCAGACAGTTTTTCTTGTAGGAAGTAGGTTTCTTAGCTGTAAATAACCTGTGGTCTCTGCTGAACTTTTTCTGTTGAAGTTTGACCTAAAGGTGTCCCTTGGTCAGGACTTTGAGCCTTCTGCTCCCAGAGAGACCTGATATTGAATAGAGGTCAGTAGCTGTGTCACATCTGCCAGTAAGTTCTAGAAGACCAGTGTTGATGAACTCTAGGTGGAAACAGGGCCAGGATTTTTTTTTCTGTGTAGAAAAATGGTTGGGCAGGGGTGGTGGTGGTGAGAGGATCCACCAAAGACAGAATAGGGGGCAGAGCAGGCCAGATGTACTGAAATACACTGCTAAGAGGAACAGCAGGAGAGATAAGAAAGATCTGCTGCGCCTATATGGGTTAGCTCCCTGGCCAGGGATAGAACTCAGGCCCTTGCAGTAATAGTGCTGAGACCTAACCCCAGAGCTACTGGGGAGGTACCCCCAAGATCATTTTTATGGGCCTATGCAGTCCTACCTCTGCACTAGGTAATCATAGATCTGGTCTTAGTGGCAGGAACCTAGCATGGCTTGTTCTTCATTCTATCGTTCTAGAGCCCTTTGGGGATGGTGGGTGTGAGTGCAATTAGGGTTAGCTAAATCACTGGATTTACCCATAATTGCTTTAAGGGAGGCAGTTGTTGAAGATGGGAAGGGAGGTTTCTTGGTACTGTCTGTAGAAAATTAATTGGATAGATTAATTAATAGAAAATTAATTGGATACTGTTAACACTTGTTAACAGTAGGCAAGGCTGCCTGTAGCCATTACTCTGCCCTTAAAATATACCTTGGGGTGTCTTTGGGAAATTGGACTTAATTATTTGGGGTTAAGTCTTGTGTTTATATATAGGGCTGTTTTGCTGCCCAGACTTAACACTACTTTAGTGTGTAGTGACATAAGCACAGGATGAGACCTAGAGGTTCTAGCCCTGGGAATGGGCCCCAAGAAGCCTCTGCTGCTGACAGATTCCTTCTGGGGGTCCTGGATCATGTCTGTTTGGCAGATGCTAAACCCCAGGTTTTGACTTGCCCCAGGGTGCCCCAGGTCCGCTAACTTGTCAGGTGCTTACTAAATGAGAGTGGGGTGCCACGCAACCTGTGTTAATCTAAATTTTCACAGTATCTTCCATGTAGGTTTCCCACTACCCTTTCCAGAGGTGCTAGTTATAGTCCTATAACTCTTTAATTCTTCCTGGAAGGAGAGAGATGCTGTTCCCCTTTTAAAATCTTAAGTCATTGGCCACAAAAGATACTAAAGCACACTTTACACACTTACAGATGAAAAAATTTAGGTTCAGGCCCAGTAAGTGACTTGACTTGCAGATGACATAAAACTTGTAAAGGGCAAAGCTTAGATTCAAATCTAGGTCTCTTCAACTCCTCATTTTCAGTGTGGGTCTACAGATTCAATAAGTAATTTGAGAAAATATTCTTTGGTTTGTGCTCAGTTAAAGCCAATAGATTCTTTTGCTGTAGTAACTCAGATCTTTAACATACTAATACTTTTTAAACTCATTATTACACAGCATTTTCTTAGCTGAATCATTACATTAACTTGACTGGACATTTGTTAATAAGTCTCCTTTGGGATTTGTGTTCACAGAGAAAACTGGAAACAATGATATAGAGGCAGCTTAGAGGGTAACCCCTAAAATAAAGCTTCTTTTCTCTATGATTGGTGTGATTTCAAATCAGACTTCCAAATCATAGGTACTTCCCTCTCAGACTTTTTTTGCTTTTATTTACTCTTGCAACCAGTTCTTGCCTATAGTTGGAACTGAGTGGCATTTCAAAGAGTCCTCCCAGGCCTGTCCTCTTTCTAATGGTTAATCGAGTCTTAACAAAGGAACTAATTAGTAGCAGCCATGTAGGGGAATATTGGTGATGGTCGTGGTGCTGTCAGAGGAATCCTGAGCAGGAGGAGAAGAGTGAAGAATGAAAGATGCTCGCCTTTCACTGGACCTTTGGCTCAGTGTTTCTGGCTATGGACAACTGCCTTAGTTCCTTGTGGAGGAACTTGGCATGGGGTGCCTCTCAGGTGCCGTGTTCCCAGTGCAGGGACACTAGAAGGTGAGTTACTGCTATCAGAGTTTCAAGTTAGAAAATGTTAACTGTGAAGAGGACAATCATCTACCCACTCGTGAGCACTTTAAATTTAAAAATTTGTGTAATTTGATGAAAATATATAGATATCTGAGTGTGATGGAATTTCTTAAAATATCCCAAACACAGCTGCCTTCAAGAATTTGGATTCCCCCCCAAGTGGAAGTTTTTTTTTTTTTTTTCAAATTGCCATATTCTCTTTGAACATTTCAGTCTTAGTTCTGTCTGGTGTCTCAGTGCTGTCAGCATCTCACTTATCTTCCTCTGCATGCTGAGGAGTAAGAGGGATAGGAAGAAGACATGGGTTCTTGTCTTTTCAATAAGTTCCAAACTGAGTCACTAACTTTCCATAATAACAAGAGCTGTACTGTCAAGGGGACCCTCTAAAAGAAGGACTCTTGGCCTGTGCCCGAAGATTCCTGCTTTAGCTTCTGCTATAAGGCCTGCCTTTGCTTTATTCCAGGTTTTTCTTTGAGTGCTTTCTGGGTAAAAGTGTCCTGGAGCTTAGCATTTTCTACCCAGGTAGATTCTTGAACCTTTCAAGTAATGGGACAGAGGGTCAGCCATAAAGCCTGGACTACAATTCTATCTTATTACCACCACCCCGTCCCAACCTTCGGTTGTCTTACCTACTCTCCATGCTTACATGCTTTTTGTTTATTTTCAGTGGATATGCTGCTGATGAAATCACTCACTGCATACGGCCTCAGGATATCAAGGAACGCAGAGCAGTCATCATCCTCAGGAAGTAAGTGTCCTGGTGTTTGGTACTTTCAGGCCTGTCTGGAGATACAGGTCTGAGTCCTTGACTTCTGTGTATCAATAGGCGGTCATGGTATAGTCTGTTGATTTCTGTGAGGATAATGCCGTTGTGTCTTTTCATCAGAATATTATGTCCTGTAATTTAATTTAGGGCTGAGCAAATACAAGGTCCCATTATTTATGAGTAAACTCTTTTTTTTAAAAATATTTATTTATTTGTTCATACAGAACTGGGGTACAGGCCAGAGGTGCAGGGGCGGTGAGAGACTTCACCAGAGACAGAGTGGGGAGCAGAACAGGCAGATTCTGCTAAGAGGAGCAGCAGGCGGGTCAGGAGAGGTTTGCCGCACCATGTGGATCTCCTCCGGGGCAGGCGGGGATTGAATTCATGCTGAAGTGGCGTTAGCTTCTTAGTGCAGTGCTTTAGCCCACTGTGCAATCAGGGAGGGCCTTTTTTTTTTTTTTTTTTAAAGATTTGTGCATATAAGAACTGGGTTACAAGCCAGAGGTGCAGGGGTGAGAGGATTCACCAGAGACAGAGTGGGGAGCAGAATAGGCAGGCCGACTAAAATAACATTGCTGAGGGGAGCAGCTGATGAGACAGAAGAGGTATGCTGTGACATGTGAGTCAGCTCCCTGGCCGGGGATCAAACTCACCTAGTGCCTTCATAGTGCTGCACTTTAACCCCTTGTGCCACCATGGAGGCCCCTATGAGTATAATCTTAAGATTTGGGGGACTTTTTCTTTCAGGTCCTTTTCTCTTCCTCTCCCACACACACTTTTCTCCACCTTCTTGATTCTGATTTATCACATGTGTTCTTGATGATTATTTTTAGACTGTGCCATAGCAATATGATTTTAAAATGCCTGGATTTTCATTTCTGTGAGAAGTAAAAATGAAAGTGGGTGAGTAGGCTGCAGTGTTCAGCAGGGATGTATAGCTTGTGGTTGTCCCCCCCTTCTGGTGAGGGAGTCAGGGGCATATTGACCCAACATTGCCAAACCTGATCTCACCAGCACTTCTTTATTTTTGCTCATGGTATGACAGGGATGAAGTGACAAGTCACTGTATCTCAGGACAGGACTGCTTTTTTTTTATTTTTTAAATTTTTTAAAAAGATTTATTTACTTATGCATACAGAAATGGGGTACAGGCCAGAGGGGTAGGGGTGGTGAGAGGATTCACCAGAGTCAGAGTGGGGAGCAGAACAGGCTGACTGATGAGGTACACTGCTGAGGGGAGCAGTGGGCGGGTCAGGAGAGGTCTGCCGCTCCATGTGGTCACCTCCGGGGCAGGCGGGAATCGAACTCATGC